TTCTAAGATTTGATTTACATTTCTAATTAAAGTTGTTTTTGATCATACGTATAGATAATTATATAAAAATTCCAAAATTCTAAAATTTCAAATACATACAAAAACAATCATATGTAAATTTTAAATTTGTGAATATTAAAATTTTATATTTTAATTACATATATTCACCCTGCGCAAGGCGCAGGTCTTATCCTAGTTTTGTGGTAAAGCACGTCTCTAACTCTTACCAAGTCACGTGGATCGTCTCATCAAAACGCTCTTTGCCTCGTAATCGAGGCAGCATCTTTAGTTGCTCAAACTGACCCATCTACTTCCCACCTTCCAATTTCCACCACGTATTCTTGTGATGCTCTAAACATACCCTATTATCAAATTTAAAGGCAACATCATCAAGGAATTTTAAAAATATTTTCACATTTATATAGAATTAAATAACATTACACAAATTAATACTAAACACACCTATTTTCGAGTTTGGAGAAACTCTTGCTACAAGTTTTTCCATTAATCAAAATATTATAATTGTGTTATATACAAATATAAAACCTAGTTATATTTAAGTAATTCATAAAATTGTAAAATTATTTGATTATTTTCATTATACTTGATCTTATATACATTTCTTAAACAGAAGCAACATTGATTAAATATATAGTGACATATAATTTGTTGAAATTTGTATTTATAATCAAAGTTGTCTCTGAAGAGTATAATCCATGTAAGAGAATTTGAATGCATTAATAAACATTGAACAATATTTCATTTGACTCGGTTGGATCATGGTATAGTTTGTTGATTCTTGATGCTAGATTAGTAAAGGAAACTAAGTGGGCGTATTTGAGAAGGTACAAAAATACGAGGGACTAATAGTGAGATATTGGGGAAGATGTAATTTATTAATTAAATACATGCTGGATTCGAAATGAACCGTTTCTCTCGCCCCTCATCGCATCATCTTCCCATCATCTCTCACTCTCTCTCTCTCTCTGCCCTACCAAGAGAGATTACTTGAATGCGCTCTTAATTTGTTCTGATTCTCTCCACTTGACCCCATCCCGTGAAGATAAACTATCACCGACGCTTCTCGCCGATATCGCAAACAAAAAAACCGTCGATCGTGGTGTGACGGTGAGGATCCATATTTGCGTGTATTTGTTTCTCGTTTATTCTGGCTCAATTTCTAGGGTTTCGTACCTGATGGATCGCTTCGTATATTGATTATAATTGCAGGAAAATGGGATTGATATCAGGGATTATGTTCGGGATCATCTTCGGCGTAGCTCTAATGGCTGGCTGGAGTCGCATGATGTCGCACCGCTCTTCCAAGCGAGTCGCCAAGGTTCGATTCAATCGGCTTATTCTCAAATTGATTCATAGAGGATCCTAATAATGAATTTGGAATTTAAAATAGATCGTGATTGTGCCAAGGTTAGATAGGTGACTGTGACTAGTTATATCTTTGTTCTTGTGAACAGGCAGTTGATATGAAACTTCTAGGCTCTCTTAGCAGAGAAGATCTGATCAAAATTTGTGGTGATAATTTTCCACAATGGATATCGTTTCCAGCCTTTGAACAGGTACTTCTCTTCATTTTTGCCTGCTATATATATCTTATATTCATCGTGCATACTTGGTTATTTAACATGATTGAACAAGTGTTGAATCCAACAGTGCTTGAACACGTGTTGTGCCGTTGAAATTATTAGAAAATGAGCCACCAAAGTTTCCAAACTTAAAACGTCTTATACCTTTACTTTTCAGGTCAAATGGCTGAATAAACTACTTGGCAAGATGTGGCCTTTTATTGCAGAGGTGAGATTCTTATTTTCTTTTTATACCTTAGCATGTACATTCTTTTCCACTGTAGATGGTTGGAAGTTGTTTATAAAATCACTAGCGTTTGTACCCGATCATTTCTATTCTAGTGTTAGTTTACACCGAAGATAGGTCCAATTTGTTCGGAATGCAAGAAAACATTATGAAGCTTATTCGTCTACCAATCTTTTAACTACCCATTGTTCTGATGACTGATTTCCAGGCAGCAACTATGGTAATAAGAGATTCTGTTGAGCCACTGCTTGAAGATTACAGACCACCAGGAATTAGTTCTCTCAAGTTCAGCAAACTGACTCTGGGTAACGTAGCACCAAAGATTGAAGGTAAAGTATGGTGGATCGCTCGTGATTGTCATTCTTTTCACTTCCACTTTGTTCAAGCTTGCATTGTCCTAATTTTTGTATGCTACCAAAAAATGAATGACTCCTAGTGCTTTGTCTTGTTAGTTTTTCCGTAAGCCTTAGCACATCATTATTAATCATTGCTGCAGGTATTCGTGTTCAAAGTTTCAAGGAAGGTCAAATCACAATGGACGTTGATCTTCGATGGGGTGGTGATCCAAATATCGTTTTAGGTGTTACAGCTCTTGTTGCTTCTATACCCATTCAGGTTACTAGCGATATATTTCAGTGCTTCCTGTTTGGGTTTTTCTATAGTATAAGATTAATATATCGGTTTGCACCTTGAGTTTTACTTCCCAGTATAGATTTAGTTTTATTCTCTCTACCAACACTTGTTTCTGGCTGAAACAGTTGAAGGATCTTCAAGTTTTCACAGTTGCACGTGTTATCTTTCAACTTGCGGATGAGATTCCTTGTATATCCGCTGTTGTTGTAGCTCTACTTGCTGAGGTGCATTTTCTTTTCCTTTTAAAGAACCACAATCGGATGCATTTTTCTATCCTATCTGACAGTGACCAACTTTTAAATGATCTCAACCAGCCAAAACCAAGAATCGATTACACTCTGAAAGCTGTCGGTGGAAGCTTGACGGCCATTCCTGGACTCTCTGACATGATTGATGTAAGTTCTTCTCTTGGTATGCCAAGCAGTTTTCAGGTGTTTTATTTTTTTTCCCATCTCTTATGCACAGCTTTATGCTTTTCTTTCTGGTAGGACACCGTTGATTCTATTGTGAAAGACATGCTTCAGTGGCCTCATAGAATAGTTGTTCCCATTGGTGGTATTCCTGTTGATATCAGGTACTTTCCT